ATTGCCGATGCAGTAGAGAATTTCCTTAGATGGAATTTAAATCAAATAGCACAATTGTAATTATTTTTACCTGAGGCAAGTTTTGAAAAATTCGTGCAGTACGATAGATTGATTTCAAAGACATGTTTAGGACAGCATCAGGGTACAGAATGCTCTTTTACGTGCTAGAGAGTCCATTAACTGTCGTACACGATATGGAACTTTATACCTGGCGCGATATAAACCACTAAAGCCTACATAAAATCACGATGACAAGACGATGCGTTATGAAATACGATATCGGTTAACGGTTCGCTTAATCCAGGCTCTCTTTTTATCTTTCAGGCTGATGGTTTTCTTCGTGGACCTGTAAATAAAAGGCCTCAAAGTGTACGGCGCCGTGGAGAAGACGTTCCACCCGTTCGAGCTGTGCAGCAGGTAACTAATAACGCCATTTCGATTGCCTCGAGTGGAATTACAGGTTTTTGCGATAGAAATACGCGTATCAAACGAAGAAAAAGTCACACGCTGCTCGTTGAAGCGCTTTCGATTGGAGGTATCGGTCTGATTATGTTTTGTTAATGTTTCAGGCTTTCCCGCGTGTTCCAGCCGGGAACACTGGCCGGTATACAAGGTGAGTTGTGTTTCTTATTCTTCCGTATTCCATTTTCGAACTAGAACCATTTACAGATGCGATATAATCGAACTTCAGTTCAGTGAATCGATAACTTTAGAAAAGGTCGCGAGTGCTTCGCGTTTGGGACATGTTTATAGTGACACTTGGCAATCGATTATGCAATTAACGTTACGTAACGTGTGTTGGTATAATCAAAAAGGAAATTGATCAGAATGTAGAAATAACCACTTTGAACTGGAGTGAAGAAACCAAGAAGAAAATTGTGAACAGGAGATAGCTGTAGCTGAAACACCTTCGTTAAACAGAAATTAATTTGATCAAATTAATTTGATACAGTTGCTCGGTGGAGGCTTTACTCCCAGTAAATGGAACTCGTTGGTTTTACGAGCACATTAAAAATGGCGCTTTGCCTTGGGTCCGCTAGATGACTCATCGCTAAGACTGAATTGTAGCGAATCCTGCCTTAGATGGAAGTGCACCCTAAATACTAAACTACTGTCAGAGAAGAATTTTGGACTTTTAAATCTTCAAGTGGCGTCCACCTTCTCAAGCTTACACAGCCTACAATGCAGAAGGAAACCATTTTGAACACAATCACTCAGAAAAATCATGGCCGTTCTAAGAAGAAAATCTGCCCTCAAGCCTTTGACGAAGCCTGTCACTGAAATGCTGACCTCTCAACGCGACGTCCAACTTCTCGATGAAATACAGCTTACAATGTACAAGTAAAAAATATTGAACGTAATGGCACTGTTTGCGCGATCCTCCGTTAAGAAGATGTCATCGTTCGCTGAGAACTTGAGGTCTACGACGCGTCTCGAGGAGTCAATTTCTAGACGACCTCGAAATCTCGAACTAAAAACTCGACGATAAACGTACCGTTTCCTAGGTACGGTACTCGCCGTAAACAGAGGATTGTATACAACTGCGTCGCACTAAAACCCATAGCTACTAAACCGCGCATACCACCTATAAATGGGCGGGTTGCTATAAAGTCCATTCATGATCGCGTCGCCTGTACAACAAACGTCAGGTGGCTCGCGCCTCCCTCGCGATTTATCGCTCTCGTGTTAGAGCACAACTCGTGCTTTCTGCTTGCTACGCGTGCACTATGACGGATGATAATTTATTTTGGAGTAATGAGGCGGTTAACGGGGCTCCTCGAGCTATGAAATTGCGACAAACTTGTGACGAGAGCTCCCGCTCAAATTGTGACTGCAGTCGCGTTGGCTGCGAATCCCATCGGCATTTTTCCATTGGAAACACGCTTTATTAATATCGCGTAGTGTTGAATATCCTCGTCAATTAACCTTTCTAAAGGTCGTTATGAAACGGTGCATCTCCAATTCCAATGAGGTGACTTTTGTTCTTCTCTTTGAACAGCAACTGCTTGATCATTTTTTGAGTAGAGATTTAATTACGAATGCTACATTTAGAGCAATAACTTTTTAAAGTTCAGCTACATCTGAAACGTATTCCACCACTTCTGATTAAGCTTTGACTCTATACCTAGGCAACAATTTAATTGCCACTGTTCTGTCTGAGAACTTGGATCCGGCATTTCTGTCGAATTTTCCTCATAAAGTTTCAACCTTTATACATTTTCACGAGACGTTGAAGGCACCGGGCGGGCGATAAAACTTTTCTTTCGGTGCACGAGCCGCTCCCTTCTCGATATTCGACGTCGATCGCTCGTTCTGAGTTACGACGAAAGATTCTGCGCACTCAGAAAACGGTACTGCGAAGTCGGTGCACGAAGCAAACGTCAGAATTCAGACGCGAAATTTATAGATTCCCCTCGAGAACCTCCCGCTCGTCGCGTTATTGCAACCGATAATAAACCAGTTAATGGATCAATTACATAAAGACCAGCTATACGTCGTTTATACGACGTTGTGTCAGGTTCAGACGTCTCTTACTCCCTTCATTTATTGCGACTTTCCAGCTCGACTGTCCCATTCAGGAGGATCTAGAAAAAAAATCGTTGGCAATCTCCTCGGTGAATGGAACTCGGAACGAACGGAAACACTTTCTCCTTGTGACCAGTTCGTCGTTATTTTCCACCCTGTATCGCACCAGTAGACGGATTTTTAAATTCGAGGTCCTAGTCGTGACAGATAGGGTGTAGAAAAGTGACATATAAATTGTGGAAGGGGACAGTTTGACAAGCATCGACGTTAGACATTCGCTGTTCATAACCCGAGGGAACCACTCGAGAATCCCTCTGGGATACGAGCCCTCTCGAGAGGACCACCCAAACATGGTATAGGGTTACTTCTCTGCGTCAAGCACTTCTAACGCTACTTGTGGCGCAAATACTCCATCCAACCGATGCACGGCTCTCATCGTAACTAACCAACAATTACCAAGTTAACGCTAGTATGGTATATGCTTCCAAAAAAAATTGGAGTCAGCGTCGGTTATCTTCTATCCAATGGACTCCAAAATTTTCACAGATTACATTCAATAATTAGCCTCTACAACGCTATAATTTAAACGATATAGTAGATTAGGTATAATATTGACTGAAGGTAGATCTGACAGCTCCAGTTTTCAATCAGAGTTCAACAACCGCAGCTGACCAAATTAAGTGCGATCCGTTCCAAAAATGGACGCCGGTACACCTGACCGTAGGCCCGGAGCGGGGGTTCCCAGCTGATTCATAATGTCCCCGTCGATTAACGCGCGCCAGGTCCCGCGCGTGGCGCGATCTAGTGGCGCGCGAGCCTGATGGACAGATGGAAGGCGTATGTGCCACCGGAGTTGTTGTCAGACCGTTTTACTTTACTGCCCCATAAAAGTACCGAGATTTAGACTGCAATACTGCCATGACGTATTGCCGACGTTCCCAGCGAGTATGCACGTTCACGATCACTTACACGTGCGACCGTCACGATGTGCGTGGATACGCGCACTGTCGAGAGATAGCGGCAGCCGCGAGACATCATCCGCTCCTTCTTTCACGCGTGACGTCACGCGTGAAGAATAGCGAGGCTCGACGACCTCGCAAGCAGTGGGATCTATATTCACCCAAAATCTCGCACCACAAGAAGTTAACGCTGAAGTTCAAGGTACATTTCTATGTACCATCTACTCGTCAGAAAAATTGGGCCAACGAACCGAGTAATTCCGGTAATTGCCCCGTCGGTAGACAGCGCGACTGCAGACAAATAATTTGATCGCGACGTCAGGCAGTTATTGGGCGAGATAATGGGCATCGTAAAAGCTGCGTGACGAACGATACCGTGACACGTTCGGGTGATAACAGTCAGGTGCTGTACACAGTTCCGTCGACGACACGCTAGTTGCAAAGTCAGCTTAACAAAAAACGTTATTGTTTAAAACAAAAAAATTGTTCGTTAAGCCACATGGAAAAGTAGCTTCATTTCGACCCAGATATTCCTTTCTGTCAAAACTAAATTGCATAGGATTCAATTTAAACGAATCAGAACCCTGTCCGAAGGGGCGATAAAAAAAGAAAAGCGCGCCGGAAGATCGGTGGCGCGTAGCGCCGTTCAATTTACCGCGAACGTACCATCGACGAGGCAGCAGGTAAAACGCCTGTCTGGACAATACAGAAGCAGGGAGGGAGCGGTAGAAACACCTGCTATTCATCCATTGGGCAACAACAATCCGGGTCAGAGTCGTTTCCCTTTCGTTTCTTCGATTTGAAAGAAAAAGAGCCGCACCGAGTCACACGAAGTCGCGCGATGCCTCGCGAGGATCCGCGGCACCCTCGCGTGTGTATGCGTGTTCGGTGCGTTCGTGGCCGCGGGTTCTCGCGATGCAGAGGTGGGAGTCAGATTAGAGGTCTGATAGACGAGGGACGAGGAAGGGTAGCGGAGCAATCGAACGCGAAGTGGTAGGGGGAAGAGAGAGACGTGTCCGTCCAGGGTTTGGTTGCCAAACGATCCGAGAGATCGCGCTGGCGTCGCGTTCAGCCCGTTTGCGCGTCCGAGCCGCGGGCAGAGCTCTCAGTTGACGCTCAGTTCGGCTCAGCGAGGCCAGAGAGAAGAAAGGGAGTCTTTTCGTGTGTGTAAACATCGCGCGTGTGTGTATCGCCGCGACAGCCACGGGGACTGGGCCTCTCTACCTGAGAAACCTTTGGCCGTTCGTTCGCGATCCGTGTCCAGGGGTCCGCTACCTGACTCCTGCGAACACAAGGGACCGACAACGAAGAAAAAAAAGCCGTAAAGAGGATTGGAGTTCCCTCAACGTCCGACCACGAACGTTCCGTTTCTCCTGATTCTGGCGATCTTCCGAATCGAGATCACGTCCAATCTGCTCCGATCCACGGAACTACCGTTGGATTAAACGTCGAGAGAAACGGAGTAAAGAGAAGAGATACACGGTGCGGAGCAGCGGGGAAACGGTTGACGAGTGGAGAGCAAGTGCGCGCTCGCTGAATAGACGTGTCGCGTGTGAATTCGAAGAGAGTTATGAGCAGGGTGGCCGTTGCCGTCGAGGAAGGAGACCGGACGACATGCAGCTCGAGCATGGCCTGGAGCGGGACGACGACAGCAAGATCGGTGGAGCAGTGAAAGGAACGTGGTCGTACTGTTTGTACGACGCGACGCGTTCGTTCCTCTTCACGAGAGGACGTCGATTGCCAAGTGTCTCGACCGCGACATGGTCCAGTCGCGTACCATTCGTTGACAATTCCGAGCATCCGTTATTTTTGGTGACGTTCGACGATCGTCAGGTCGCGTCGAACGCGCGAAACGTGATCGTCCGACTCGAGGAGTAACCGAGAAAACGCATAGATGTACTCTGTTTTGGGGTGTACGAACGACTGTTGCTAAAGGCGTGCTGTGTCGTTTTGTTTTCATTTGTTCCAACCTCTCGCGTGTCCGCGCGTCATCGTTGGATCTGCTCGCACCTGAACCACTGGAACCCGCACCCGGACGTTCCACCGATCGTTTCTCATCGACGACGTCTCGGCACGTGGCTCATCGTCAACCTTGATCAACCTCGGTCGTCGTCTTGGACGTTCGTCGCGGTGGTGGTGGTGGTGGTGGTGCATGGACCTTTGCTCGACGGATTTGCTACGCATTTTATCGCGCCCCTGGGCGTCCTGGTCTTCCTCTCGTCGACGTTCTCTCTCTCTTTCTCTCTCCTCTCTCTTCCTCGTTCTCCTTCTCTGTCCCTTGCCGTGTGCCGTCTCCCTCCGACCCGCGCTTACCTACCCCTCCACCTGTCTGCCGCGCCGCTGCACACCCTCTCCTCCTCCGCCAACCCTGCACGGCCGCGCGTAACCGTACGATTTTCCCTATCCCCACCTTCCGCGCGCCACCTCTGCCTTCCGCACGCGTTTTCTTTATTTATTCCGCGATTCCACGGAGCAACGTACACGATGATTCCCGCGTTCCTCCTATCCTCGTCGTTTTGAAATCGTCTCGCGTATTCTGATCGTTCGCTCGCCGTCGACGAATCCGTTCGGTGCTCGTCGCTGATCGTCGACTCGCGCCTGTTCTCGACGCGACCGTCCTCGTAAAATCCACGATAAAAACTCCCGCTTCTTCATTCCCGCTCCCCTCTGGCTCGCTGTCTCCGTCTCCGTCTCGTTCCACCGTCTCCTTCTCCGTCTTGTTCTGTCCGAGCAACGTCATCTCGCCGCCGTTACCTTGCCTCCTCCGTCCTTGGACCGCAAACGAGCTCCGTAAACGCAATCGTGCGAAAAAACGATGCAATCGCGATACCCGCTCGCCTGGTGAAAATCGACTCGCGTCGCCCGGTGATTTTTCATTTTCCCGCGCTCCCGATCCTCCTCCCCGTGGAGCAACGTCCGATCGGCATCGATCGGGCCACGGAATCGGTATCGTCGCCATCGTTCGCCGACATCGACATCGCCACCGTACCGGGCATCGTCGTTATAACACCGTCAATCAACTGTCACCATCTGCACCATCGCCGATCACGTGGCTTGCTCGACGGCGACGCTGTACGACAATGTTCACGCCGCGCCGCTGTGCGGCTCCGGCGTGGGCCACCCTGGCTCCGTCACGCCGATGGGGACAGCCACCGGAGCGGGGAATTCCACCGGGGTGACCTGGTGGGCCATGATGAACGGTTCCCTCTACGAGGACAGCCCGCCACCGGTCCCACCGACAGCCTCCAGCCTCGTCTCGATCCAACAGCAGCAACAGCAACCGACCTCGACGCCTGGCTCGCATCAGCAAGCCACGACACCGACGTCCCCGGCTGCACCGGCTTCCTCGGCAACGACAGCGCCCTCGGCACCAACGGCCAGCGCCAGCTCGACCTCGCCGAGCGCCTCGTCGGTGGCGAGCAACAGCGCGCCAGGCCCGCTGCACATACCCGCCAAAAGGTTGACCGCCACGCCGGCAGCTTCCTCCTACGGGGAAGTCGGCTGCGTCGATTCCTCGGCACCGTCCGCCGCTGGACCAGCGGGCGTCATTCGTCATTCCCACTCGTCCTCCGCTGGCTCGCAAGGCGGCTGGAGTTACAGCCCCCATCATCCCCAGGACTCGCATTACTCGACCACCGCAACCGCGGGTGACTCCCTCAATCATCATCAGGCGTACGGGGGAAACAATCCCCCGACCTACTACAACCTGGCGGCCGACCCTACCTCCACGTCCGGCTCCTCCAGGGACAACCGGAAAGCGGGCACGCTCAGCTTCTGGTCACCAGCCGCGGCCACGGCCGGTTCGGCCGCCACCGGAAGCCCAGCCTCCGACTACAAGTCCTACAGCTCGGCCAGCGGGGCAACCACCAGCTCCTCCACCGGTGGTGGATCTTCTTCCGTTGCCACAGGAGCAACGGATCCAGCCGTCTCCTCCTGCCACCAGAGCTTCTCCCAGAGTTGGTGCAATTACTCGCCGTACACCACGGCCAGGCATCATCACCCGGTCGACACGACCGGCCACCATCATCCTCACTCGCAAGCAGGGGTCCCGTACTTGACGCCGTCCGCGGCGGACGACCGGGGCAGGGTCACCGCCGCCATGGTCGCCGAAGGCGCCTTTCCCCACGACGGATACGGTGGGCTCAGGAATTACGGGGCACCCGAACCTGTCACCTCCAACCCGTACCCACCTCCAGGTAAGCATCGACTCCGTCGTCTTTCGTTCATCAACATTTTTCCTTTCAGCCGAAGTCCTCCTCACGGTAACGTATGATCGAGTCCAGAACTCAGCTATACTCCACGGAGGCATAGGTCGTCGTGTGCGACTTCGTAGAAGACTTTATATCATGACGTAGCTAAAAGAATACTGTACGCGATTCGTATCTAATTTTTAACCCCTTGTTAGTTTTTGAATTTCCTCGCATATACACAATGTCCTATGCCTCCTGGTCACGGTACCGTTAATCAACCAACCTTCAGAGGTTTATAGAACATTTACTCGCGAATCGATCGTCTTTCCCACGGAAAGAAGCGTAGAAAGACGGTCGCGGTTAAAGCCTTCGACAATCCGATGCGTGCACGGGCCTCGTTATCCAGATCTCTAGGACCGCGAAAATAGCATGTACGTTCGAGGCCTTCGAGGAGGTCGCGCTGTATCGTCCAGAGAATACAGGATCGCGAATAGTCACGTGATCGTACTCCGAATCCGTGTTGCATCGGCCTTGCCAACGAAACAGGAAGGAAAACTGGTAGCAAAACAAGCGAGAAATTTAAATGCTTGAAAACCGCAAATAAACTGGCCCCCGTCGCATAAACGGTCGAGTCATCGTTCATTCACGTATTTGGTCACTCTCTTTTGTCCCCACTCGCCGTCCTTTTCTCGGGTCCCTGGAACCCATGAAACGTCGCATGAGCAACAACGAACGGCGGCGGGTTTATTGGCGGCCGTAACTCGTAAACTCTGGCGTGCGCCTCCGATCAGCTGATCCGTTCCATGACCCGTACGGGCGTTCGGTCTTCTCCTACTAACGGCCGTTCTCGCTTTCCTTCTCGTGTGTGCTGTCGTCTGGCTCGCTTTCGCCCTTTCCGTCCCCTTTCCTCTCGACGCGTTTTCAAACTTTTGCGCGCGATGTGTGTTCGCAACGTTAGACAACTTTGTCAGTATACTCCTTGGAGAAGTACATTCGGTTCGTGTGACTCAGTTCAACCCTACCGCATTCCCGCGATTGCTAGCCGAGAGGTATACCTCCGAGGGTTGCAGTTCCGCGGATGCACCGTTGTAAACGGAGTCGTTCGAATCTCGCGTACCGTTCGGAGGCATCTTCTTCGAGTATCCGTGAATGGTAGGGTCATTCGATCTTGGACTACTCCTCGGTGGCATTCCCCTATCGATGAAAAGATGCCTTCGCGGCTTTCCTCTCAGCGATAGCGATCGATAACGCGAGGTTTTCGATGTCCAAAGGGACGAAGCATGCTAGTGTCTAGACTTTTCTCATAGAACGAAACGTGCATTCCGAGGCGGTTGACTCGTCGCCGACGCGTAACGCAACGGGACAGAGATTTTTGCTGGCGATTGGCTCCCGCTGGTCGAGAAAAAACGCGCGTCCCTCGACGGAATCGTAAAGAATAGGAAAATACGAGACACGGCGGCTGCTCATACGGGCACGCACGGCCCGATAAACGAGATATCGTTCGCGTGATCCTCTCGTCCGCGGAGTTAATCGTATGCGTGGTAGGGGAGTTGCACGCGCAGGCGTGCGATACATACAAAGTAGGGGAATACCAGCGCGGCGTATAGTTTAACCGTGCACCAATAGATGGCAGCTCCATTATCTTTGTTCGTTCGTCTGGTATCTTGAGCGCGAGCCAGCCGTATCGCGGCCGTCTCGACGGCCACCGTGCACGACTTTCGACGAGTCGGAGAGGCACCGACAGGTGCTGTCGGGCGGCCACTGATGACCCATTCCGGTTGACGAGATAGGATCTCCGTCCGGGAAACGTCGTTCGTCGAAAGACGGCTGCGCCTTGGACGTCGTTCGCCGTTTAAAGGCCACTTCCGAGCGCTAAACGACTCTAGTCGTTTTGCTTTTTAATTTATCGTACAATTATCAGCGCCCACTATGTCCCTTCGACCAGCTCTAATTGACGTTCGCGCGAATTTACGGGTTGGACTGATTAGAGCGATTCACTGGACTCTTGTTTCGCATTGTAGTTATCGATCCTGTTCGCGGGTTTCTGGTTAGCGGAGTTAGCCTTCGCAAGAGGTGGCCGCCCCGTGGCATCTGATCGTCACGAGCTGGGCAAATTTTAATTAAGGTTTGAAACGTTGATCGCAAGCATAGGGTCATATTGTAGAATTATAATTTTAACGTATATTTAACGAAACATTTTACTCCAAAATTCATGTCCCAGTTTTTATTCATCGAGTAAGGGATGAAGTTTCTTATCTTGCACCCTTTATTCTCAACTTTCATCCAGATAAGAATTGTATCTTCTCTGATGGCGTTTTTGGTTATCTAGACCGAAATCATTCGAGAATATCGACTCTGGCCTCCTCGATATTGGTTGCTTTCAAGGTTCGTATCGCGGCCGTCGCTGCTAACACGTTGGTCGCAAATCGATACGTCATTGATTCCGCAGTTTCGTACGCGCACACGTCCGCCGTGCACGCTGACATTCGTGAGAATCCTGACCTTTGTTAAATAATTTGCATATTCCATGGTTTTAGTGGGCAATAAATTCCTGACGCTTAAGCAATCGCGCCGCGATACCCGCCGAGCGAGACGAGGCGGACGAACGCCGAGAGAAGTCTCGATGAGGGAAGAAGAGCAGTAAGAAGCAGGGGAAGACAGCGAGGGGAAAAGAGACAGAGTTTGCGAGGGAGACGTCAGACGGAAGAATAGAGAAAGAATATTACGCGATCTAATAAGGGAGGAAGGAAAAGCGAAATTCGGAGCAACCCCAGAGTCCTCCATAAAAAGAGCCAAGAACATTTATTATATTTCTGTCCATCCTCTCGCGTTTTAATCGGATCAGAAAAAATGTGCAACGAGTACCTTTGACTATTTTTTCAATTTAAAAAATATCATGAAGATACAACGTTGACCATGAGGAAAAAATCGTACAAAAAAAAAATATAAAAACTATGTTAAACTCGCGTAGCATTAATTTATGGGCACTCGCGTTCCGACGGAGAACGTTGTTTCAATTGTAAATAGAGCGTCGTATTATTAGACGGTTCAATAACGCTCGTCGTTAAAGCGTGCGTTGGAAAAAGTCTGGGGGATTTTTTGCGAGGACGTGCAAAAGCGTTACGAACTACGAAGCGCGCCCCATAAATAATATCGACGGTTTGGAGGGTAGGTCGTGGGTGGGCTGGCACGTAGATGATCGCAACTTTGTTGCGTGAGTGGACAATTTGCTACAGGTCGGCACGACTACGAGCATGCGATGATTTCTTGCCACTCTTGATCGTCCTCTAGTTAAAGATAAATGAACGAAAATGGGGGCTGCTGTTATCTTCTTTTGCGCGCTTCGGTCGTTACGCCATCTTCTGAAACAATTGACTTTGTAGCTTCAACTATCGCGACTTTTTGAAAATCGAGCAAATTTTCGTAAATTTTAACGAGAAAAACATGCATGTATATTTTGCAGTAGCTATTTAAAGAAAAAAGGTTTGGTCTACGCAATTTCTAAATACATACATAACAATTTGTAATATCTATGAAAAGGACAGATACTGTTTGTAGGTGAAATATAGTACTCAGAATTGTTTATTACCATTCAAAGCAGCGATTGTCAATAATTTGATGATGAAGGGGACATTTATCTTATCTTGTAACAGACTGGTCGGTGAATGTTCTGTGTATTAGCATTTCATATTTAGCAGTTGAGTGCATCGAGTAGACTATTCGGTTTCTGGGCTCGGTACATTTTTTTTAGGAAGTTGAATATACCCGTCAGTCTTGTGTTTATAGTATCGGTACGATGTCGAGTAATTGTGAAAACGATACAATTATCAAACACCTGGAAAAGCTAACAAACGTTGAAACGAAACAAAGATAGCTTTCGTATAATCTATGAATCTTATTTATTTTTTTTTGCATAGATTTAACGTGATTATTACTGAATTTAACTATCAGGCACGAGAAGAAACGTAGTAACAGTTCCGCGTTTCGTGTTCTGGTTTCATGTTTTCCAAGCGGTTAGTACAACCGGTCCAATTATATCATATCGTCGGGTCGGCGTAGCGAACCCTCCGTGTATACATATACACGTATACGTGCGTCACGCACACGCGTAGGCGGTTCCCACTGCACGCTTCAGCGTTGGGGAGCCGCTTTGGGTGTGAAATTCACGATCTTGTGACCTCGCGACCTTTCGCCTCGGGAACAGTGGCACACCCACACATATTACAGGATGGTGCAGTTAAAAATTCACAGAGACGAATATTTCTCTGTTAATTTGTACTTGCACACCCGTCACTACGCGAAGAAATCACTATGCTTCCAAAAGCACCATAAATTTTTTCTGAGAAAACATGGAAGAAGTTTACTTAGCTTTTTGACATAAACGAGAATTTCGATGATTAGTTGTCCAATAATTAGCGGTGTGAAATTGGCACCTTGCACCCCCTGTGGATGTGCCACTGCTCGGGGAAACCCTGTCTCACCGAGAAACTCGGCCACTCGTGAATTTTCTACATTTCGCAGCGCTGCTTTCAAATCCTTTCAATTCTCCCACCTGCAGCATGAATTTTGCAACCCAGAGCGTCGAAGAGACTACTCCGGACACACGAGCTTTTCTCAGACTGGATTCCGATACGGATTCGAAGCGGGGAATTTATTTGTTTTTGCTGTTTGCTTTCGCTTTGGAAAGATTCCGCGATGAAAAAATTAAAAAACTGATCGACGATGTTCAATCTTTTCGAAGGAAATCGTGAAATTTCCTATCGATCAAAGTTTATTTTGCTGATGATTAAAAACAGTTACCTCTGGACGTTTAGTATATATATATATATATAACAATTAACCAGATTCAACGCGTTTCACCCTATATGTTTCATAATTTTTACTTGATATTATAACATTGAATACGTATTACAAATCAAGAATTGATTTCAAGAAACATCGATATAATGGAGTCGGTTGATCGATGAGGTTTTGTGCATCGATCCATCACATAACTGTGACTTTACTGCTGTAGTATCAACAGAGGGTCATTCGGAAAAAACTGACAGTATTGGTTACCGAGGAGGTCGACTAATCAACGTATTTGACGTATCAACGTATGATTAAATAGAATGAATATTAATAAAATACAATGGTAGGGGCAAGTACTGTCCCCTGCACTTGTCATAAATGAACGAACCGAAGAATATTTAAAAAAAAATTAATGGTCTTCTAAAATCATATCAGTTTAATATTCGAGACTCCCTCTCAGCGCAAAACCTCGTCGATCGATCAGACTTTCACTTAGAGCCATTCCCTCGCGAGTGCGTCTTATCGTCGAGAGCAGAAAGCGATCGACTAGTCAGTTATTCCTAGCTGTAGCAGCTAGGTTTTGTTTATTACCGGCAAACTAATTGTGTTAAGTGATGTGGGGTTCCTCCCCATCTTCGTTGTTTCCCGCAGGTTCCCTGGCGGGAGTCGGCGTCGGCGTCGGAGTGGCAGGGATGGGCGTCGGTTGCGGGAGTTCGAATCCTCTGGAGTGGACCGGTCAAGTGACGGTGCGGAAGAAACGCAAGCCCTACTCCAAGTACCAGACCCTCGAGCTCGAGAAGGAGTTTCTGTTCAACGCGTACGTGTCCAAGCAGAAACGATGGGAGCTCGCGCGCAACCTGAATCTCACCGAGCGCCAGGTGAAGATCTGGTTCCAGAATCGTCGGATGAAGAACAAGAAGAACAGCCAACGGCAAACGCAGCAGCAGAACAATAACAACAATAACAACAGCAGCGCAAACAACGCGAATCACCACGCGGCGACCGGAAGCCATCATCATCCGAGCGCAGGTCATCCGCCGCCGTCGAGTCACCACGTGGTCGCGCAGGCGCACCACGCGAACGGTTCCGCGAAGCATCATCAGTGACCCGTGGCCTTCTCTGGGGTCGTCTTCGGCCATCATCATCACAGCCACGGCACAGCGAACGGCTGCACCGGGACTGGAACCGGGACTGCTACCGGAAACGTCAGCGGCCACGCGAGCCTGGTTACAGGTCACAGCCATACCCTTCACGCGCCCCAACCTCAAACGCCTCTGCCGACCCACGCAACCGGTGCCTCGAGCACCGTCACGCCCCCCACCGCCGTCGTTCATCCTCACATTCACGCACACGCTCATCATCATCAGTTGGCGCACGTGGCTCAGCAGTATCCTGCGCTCCTTCATCAGACGCCCCATGGCCTGGCCGCCTGATCACCATCCGAAATGGCACGGACGCCCCAGAGAAATCGTCGACCTTGCAACGACAACCTCTCGCCTTCGTCGGCCTCGTCGTCGTCGTCGTCGTGGTTGTCGTCGTTGCTAGAGGCCGGCCTAAACGACTACGTCGGATAGATAGACCCGCACACTTATCGAACTTTGTTCAGCAGCTGTTCAAAGACTGCCTACCACTTGTAAGGAGAGACAACGTTTCGCGAGTAGTATATTATTATTATTATTATTATTATTATTATTTTATTATTATTATTAACGTTATTATTATTACGAATCATCGTCATCCCCCCACCCCCCACCCCCACCTCTCCGTACCCATCGTCATCATGGTTACTATATCCAACGAAAAGGAACACACTGTTGTATAGAAGAGCGTGATTTAGCGGCGTCCTTGGAACGTCCATCAGCAGACTCTTTTTCCGCGTATCGGTTTCAGGTGTCGTCGGTCTTCTTCGAGTAGCGCGCATTATCGTATATGCGACACCAAGCAATCTGTCCAATTCGTAATTCGGTAGTACTTCCTCCAGTTATATATATTATATAAATATATATGTATATATAATATACAGGGTGTCCCAAAAGTCGGGGAGGAACCGGAAATGGGGGGTAGCTGAGACGATTCTGAATAAGAATTTCCTTTGCAAAAATGTCGGATGGGGCTTCGTTAAGGAGATATTAAGAGAAAACCCCGACCAATCAGAGCGCGCGTAGACCGTTGGAGCGGCCGCGGTAGCGAAGGCTACGCGCCGACGGCCGCGCTTGTACGCGACAAGTGACCTCGACGTGCATCGAAGGACATTGACGCTGCCGCCTAGCGCGTAACCTTCGCTACCGCGGCCGCTCCAACGGTCTACGCGCGCTCTGATTGGTCGGGGTTTTCGGTTAATATCTCCTTAACGAAGCCCCATCCGACATTTTTGCAAAGGAAATTGTTGTTCAGAATCGTCTCAGCTACCCCCCATTTCCGGCTCCTCCCCGACTTTTGGGACACCCTGTATATATATATAGAGTAAAGAAAATTAGTGTCACTTAGTATCTGTCCTAACCCGTGTGTCACCCCTCTTCGTTACAGCCTGGACGAACTACTCCTGCTCCTCATCCCCTCAATCTTATCAGGTCCAACAGCCCAAAAGCATGTACGGTAGGTCAGAGTGATTCCAGCAGACGAGAGAAAGTCGCCAGCATCGGTACCGATCTAAACACCTTACCTTTCGGGCAGGTGTCTCGATGGGCACCTGGTGTTTCTCTCTTTAGACAAGACTCACCGTGGCCTGGCGTACGTTTGCGCTGTATTGCACTGTTCACCTCGACAGTCGGAAAGAAAAAGAGTTAGAGAACCGTTCGAGAAGCGACGCCATTGGGTCCCGTGGCTACGACACTGCGGTCTGTCGAGGATCGCCAGAAGGGTGGCTCGTTTGCTGCAGGGGTAAGTTAGTGGAAAGAGCACGAATAGTTTCGATCGGGATTGATACTTGGGGTTAGTTTGCTTCGCGTATTTACAAGGGGCGATATCGCGGATTTTTTATCTCGATAGGGTTGTTCTTGGATTCCGGCGATCTAATTAAATGCAAGGGATAGCTTCGCACCACGATAAACGTCCGTCGCTGCTATCTGGGATTCTTGGAGAGTAACATTGACGTTTAGAGTTGGGCAGACTTTTTCTTGAACTCGTAACAAATAATTCGTGTAGGTTATTCGTGTGTTAGAGATTTTTTATCAATATAATTGCTCGGGTAAAAGTTTCATCGAAATATAGCGTAATGCCCAAGTCTCGTGGACACCGTACGGTGCGCAATCGATCGACGTCTTGGTTGGTGTGTTTGCTCAGTCTACGGGTGTGCGTCTGTCCAATTTGCTCCACGTTTCGTCGTGGGACAAGCCAAATCGCGATGAATCGATCGTTTCACGGGATCCAATGAACTCCTTTCGTCGTCGCCAGTCGAGTTGAGCAGTGAGACGCAGACAAAGTTCCGGTTCCGTACACAATCCCAGGAAAGATTAGTAGATCCAATTCGCAGGAATTCGTTCGGACCGAAGGAAAGAAACAAGACTCTTTGGATCGCTGATGAACATTAGCGCGATCCCAAAGCGTTCAGACCTTTGTGGATAACTTCTCTATTCAACGTCGGGCGTTTCCCCCGCTAGCGTCATCAGCGATTCAAGGAATTCCGAGATGAAAGTTGAAAATTGGAACGGGTCGGCGGGTCTTCGACGCAGTTAATTTGAGAATTTCGAGAACCCGCGAGTGGACCCGTTTCGAAGCTACCATGCGTTCGGAGAATTAGTCTAATTATGTCCAGAATGTCATATTTGTCGCCTACCAAGGATCGCAAACTAGTACCTATAATTCTTATATTATATGTAAAAACAAACGACTTAGATTTAAAGACATACCTAGAGGACTACCGGGTGGTCGAGGCCACCACTCCAAGGCTGAGATTAGGATCTTCGAAACTATGGTGTTAAGGGTTAGGCTGTTCGTGATCGAAGAAAGGGCGAGCAACGGAACTGGGAAGCGTCGCGTCATTGAATAGCGTTTGGATCGAGGCGAATGGACTTCGATTGTTGATTGTTTCGGTATTATTAGATTGTTAAAAGTGAGATTTTCGGTTCTATTCTTTTTATCGTCAGATCCAGAAAAGAGTTCCCGCGTATGTGTGTGTGTCTATGGAATATTATTGTTCATCCACGAAACGTGCGAGTAGTATCCATCAACGTTGATTGTTGAAAACTTGGTGGATGCTCTTCGATTGTAATTAGTTGAAGAGTATTCGATTCGACGTTACAGAACTGAGTGTTGTCGAACGTTGAAGACACTGTTGTATTCGCGAGGAAGTCAGAGCTGAGAGGTAAACGATATCCAGTGAACGCATCCCTCCATCGGACACCTTTCACGAGTTGCAAAAATAAGATTGTAAGCGTGGTTAGGTCGCAATTCGAACCTCACTGGTGGTCCCAGGCGATGTTCATCCTTGAATCTGATGACTGCACGATGAGATCTCAAGATCTAAAAAGATACGAGACGTTCAAAGACTTTCAGCTCTGGAAGATTCCAAGATTTAAAAAATTGCCAGATATATCCAAGGAAGAAGGGATCTAGAAATGAGGCCAATTCAAATAATCTAATCTGGCGAATAGAAAATTGAAACCCAGACGTCTAATTGGCCGCGAAGTTCCACTTTCAGATTCGAGGACGAACGTAATCTCGGACAGCCATGAGAGGACAGTCGCGCAACGATCAGCAGCAGGAGTAGCATAGGGTGTTCCAAGCGATCTCGAGAACGAAGTCCTAATCGTGGCCACGGAGCGATAAGGGCGGAACGTTTACTACCTTTTAATCGGTACGTCAGCGAGTAAGTAGGTAATTTAATCGGATGTTAAATGAAAATAAATATCCCAGTGGATCTCTATTCTCTAAGGTGCAACATTATCTAAATTGTAAGGACCGCTGAACGCGAGTGTGCATGCCTACGATATGCTATATATAAATGTACACATACACGCGTATTTTCTGTATGTCCTTGCCCATGCTCATGCGCGCGTCGACGAATCGCAAAGACGGTGATTCGAACACGTCTGTTTTATTTACGAATTAAATTTCCAAATATTGAAGAAGTTAGAATTTCAAGAAAAGTCAAGCACTCGATCATGTACATTACGCGACAAATTTGTATTCGGCCAGTAATTAACGAGAAATCCTCGCGAAAATTGTATCCCATCTTCGATTGAAATCGTGGACGTGCGCGTGTGCGCTGGCTCGCGAGCGCGTGAGTGCGAAAGGGAGAGCGTGCGTGCGTGCGTGAGAGGAAGACGGATGGAGTGTCTCTACAGATAATATCCGCGACTCTAAAGGCGAAGACGAACGGAAACGTGACGTGTATCGTATGACGTGAACAGGAGCGAGATGCGTATCGTATAATTAGGCTAAACTTAATTGATGGAGACGTAAATGCGGAAAACACACGAACCACACGTACACACGAGTAACAAACACACAACCACCCACACGAAACGCGAGGTTGGGACTCGCATTAACCCTCCGCTGGCCGCGTGATCAATTGTCACGTATTCGGGGTGCGTGGACTACGATCGTAGCCCGCTAAAAAAATTATTAACTCAACTTTTCTTGATTGTCCAATTCGTTTACAAGGATGTCCTTTTACAAAAGCTATCAGAGCCTCTTTTAGGGGCAGTGGAGAAAGCTGACGAACTGTAGTCCACGTGTCCACTCGGGGGTTAATCGATAATATAGTTCTCCCAGGATTACAATTATGGTACATTAATTGTGTAACGACGACTAAATATGATACAGTGTAAGTAACGCGAGGAAACGAGGATAGTAAGAGGATTCGAGACGTGTAACGAGCCGTATAAGAGAAAATGGAGGAAAACAAGTGAGAAATTCCCGCGAGCGTATAGGTGTCTGACAGAGATGGACAAAATTTTATGTCATTGGAATGATAAACAACGAGAACAATCAAACGTATAGTGTTATTCGATAATTCATTCGATAATTGAAATTTTAACTCTTATTCTACTAGTAACGAGTGGCAAGTTGTCTGTCTTTTTAATCGTTACAGGTGGTTCTTATTTAAATAACAATGTTGGCCATCTCTGGTCCCCGGACGCCGAAGGTGAGGAATGCGGTCTACGGACCGTTTGGAATTCACCGCGTATCGATTGCAATTAGTTGCTAATTGTTCTGCTGCTGACGATGTTCATCGCGATTTTTAAGATTATTACGATTATTATTATTATTATTATTATATCATTATTATTATATTATATTATTATATTAATTATTATTATTATTATTATTATTATTATTGTGAGCGTCACGTTAATATTATGTTATTGTTTTTATTGTGTGTTGTTTTGTATGTACCTATCAGTCTATAACGATCACTATATTATTATTGCGACGGTGACGACACAATGGATCCACACGCGCGTGTACAAGTATACAGACACATACACATTCACAGACACACACGAAACACACGGCTAAGAAAATATACAGAGGAACACGGTGGTTGTTAAACTATGCGCGAATATTTTTTTAATTCATCGCAAGCCACGTCGTGGGATCATTTCTCGACCTGCTCACACGATGTAGCGCAGTGTTTCTCAAGCTCTCGGAAGACAGGAAGGAATAACGATTTTATAAATAGTACTCCAAAGGAATTTAATTTATTATTAAACAGCATCAGGAAAACATCAAAATCTCACGAAGCCTGCGATAACGGCAACTCTATCCTCATATTTATTTTTGTCGTTGCTCGTTAGTTTTACTCTAGGTAGTCGTCAAGAAGGCGAAGTTTGAGAAACACTGTTCTAGGTCACATCGTACGGGGGTCACCGTTTCATTTCTTTTTTTTCTTAATTCGTTCCAGAGAATATTTCCCAATTTCCTCTGTTATTTCGTTTCTTTTTCTTCTTGAAATGTTACTTTCGTTTAGGACCGTGTTCGCGAGAGCGTTATTAAATTTTACTTGTTCGAAAGCTTTAAAGCGCGCGTCGACGGAACAAGAAGCGACGCGACTACCGCTCGAGAATCGATCCGAACAGTCTACAGGGATTTTTGCGACAGCGATCGACGATATTGAGTTCTCGAGGTATCGGGGAGATAGGGTGAGACAGAGCTGGGCAGAATTTTAATCGAATAACAAATGGAACATCTGCATCTCATTCTCGACATTTAATCAAACTATTCAGTTATGTTCTTATTTAATTAAATTTTCAAATTTGTATTACGTATCTTCGATTCCATATTCAGAATGAATTATCTCGATAAGAATTGTGCCCCTCTTTGGCGTGATAGTGAAAGAGTGATTGAACGAAAGTGCGCGCGCGCGCACGCGCGCGTGTGTGTGTGTGTGTGTGTGAGAGAGAGAAAGAAGAACACACCAGGTCGTCTCGTTTACCCGAAAATAAACGTAAAGAAAATGTTATGCATTGCGAGAGACCGCATGTTTATTTTTTTTATACATATATATATTCGAGTTGCCGAGAGAGTGAGAGAGAGAAAGAAGAGGAAGAAATTGTTCTTGCGTTATTATTTTTCCTTTTTGTACATTGACGGCTAGGCGGTCACGTTTATATTTTCTCCTGGTGGACGAAAGGAACATGTGAAGAGAATTACAATTATATTATTGTTTCATGCTCAATATTGTTATTTACTCGAACGACGAAAGCCGGTACCTTGAACACAGCAATTCGACTAGCCACCCTTGAGTGTACTCCACTGCGATCGTCTCACTCTGTATCTCCACGAATCCTCACCACCCCCTCGACTTTCGCGTTCACCCTCCCTCGTACGATTTGTTGGAAGTGTTTGGTTTCTATTGGCGCGAGGCAAACGTGATCATGAACGCTATACAGAAACGGGAAGAAAATAGAAACCAATAGAACGCGTTATTTTTACTTGCAACGTTTCGCGACGATGATCATGGCTCAAATAATGTCGGATCGATGGGAACTCGCGACGCATCAGTGTGTTCTCAACCACAGGTAGGCAATCCTTTACGAAATGATTCTACGGACCTAATTATAACGAATATTAATAATAACATAATTAAATTTGTTTCTCTGTGTCTGATTTATCGATTGCTGAATACGAAAGCTTGAAGCTTTAGGCGCAATCGTGTTAGTAATTGAACTAGTTGATCGATAAGCTACGTTCCTATTATTTTAGCCATGACTATACCATGCGATCGAACGTCCAAGTTCCGACACAGAGATGCTCAGAGAATTTTGGTCATCTCGAACGGTATCGATTGCAAGAACCATGGCGGTGACAGCCTCGAGTATCTTTTAAGGGAGAGTATCGTTTGCAAAATACGTCGTCACTTGCTCACTGAAAATTGTTTGGTTCTCCTACTCCCAGCTACAATAAAATAAGGTCACACTTCCGAACACTCGTCCTCCCTTCCGTAATCGAAACCTCTGTCTGTTCTTAGCTGTATTTGTATGATATTAATTACGGCCGTAAGGTAGACTATTATACGCTACTTGTAAATAAAGACACACAAGATTTATCCTGTATTGAAGTGCAATAATAAAAACATGTTTAATTAGTGCCAAAGTAATTTGCAGGAGATAACAACGACACACACAAGATCCTCTTTCGCGAGGTGGGTGAAATTTTATTTAAATTACGATTTACTATCGAATTTCGATTCGCCGTGAGATGGATGAGAGGGACGTTTATATTTTATTCGTCATACGAAATTTGTATCTAGATAAGAATTTTGCCCACCTTTAACGCGAGGGATCCTCGTGACTTCGGGGCGCGGAATGCGCCAAGAAGAAGTTCCTTCATAAAATATAGCTTTCATCGCGAAAGTAACGGGAAAAGATAAACGGTTTTCCACGGAACTTGGAGCTGCTCGCTTACCTCTGCGCGCATACTGCAATTTCAGAACTTTAATCGCGCTTCCATTTTAAGAGAGCGATTCGGTGATCACGGAGTATTAAACGACGGGTCCGAAAATCTTTCAAAAGAAATTAACATCACTATTCTTAAAGAATTCTATATTCTATATTTTATATTCTCTCAAAAGAAATCAACATCACGATCTTTGGAGAATTGTGAATCTTTGTTTCTGTTAAATATATTTTTTCAGTTTAAAGTGAACGCGTCTGATTGCATCTAACAGATGTTATTTTTATAAAGAAGCACCCCCTGCAATGATCCATAATCTCACATTATTGTATAATATGTCTACGTTATAAGTATCCAGAATATTTTATTACCATTTAGTGTGATGGCTGTCCAGAAAGGCGTTCATTATTGGGACATTTGCGTTTCTTGGCAGCGATCAACGGGGCTAACGTCGACGCGAGATGGTCAGAAGAAAACCGTTGGCTGGAAACTCTGCAGCGTTGGCTTCTAGGTCAAGTGACCAACTTTCTATCGATACAAAAAATTGAACGGGTCGACTATGCTTGCGCTATTGCTGTTCCTGGGAACAGCCTTAGCCCTTGGAAATTCTGACGTCGGGGCCGACAGAAAAAAAATTAGAAACTTCGTTCACTCAAAAACTTTCTAACCAGCTTTTGGGTTCACCTACATCTTCAGTTTCGCGAAATGCCTTCTTCGGCCACAACGTGATCCTTAAACCGTCTCTCTAGTTTCGAAACGTGTCAGTTTGCTGTGCCGAGGTGTTGCGACTAATGTGAATGAGGGAAGGGTGAATAATAATCATGCAGGGTCGCAGGTAAGACATCAGACATCGATAGATCCTGTTGCAACTCGTCCAAAGATCACCACTTCGGAAGAATCGGTAAGTTCTAGAGCAATACAGTATTTTTTGTATCCAATCTTGTGGAATTTGTGACTACTGAAGTTCTATGAAATTTACTTTCTCATGCACGGTAGCTAGGATTTTTCTATGTAAAACTTCGTCTCTGGAAAAAACGACACTTGCATAGGGAAAAATATCGAATCAGAATAGCGGAAGGTCTAATAACGAGAATTGGCCTGGTAGGTGTAATTTGTGGGACAGTATTTCACGATTACTGCTCCCACGTCGACTCATGAATAAATCTTAAATGCAGTTTCGTCGCTATTGTTATGTAATGCGAAACTCATGTTTTAAAATCACGCGTTGAAAATTCGAAAGATGTTCCTCGAATGTCAATGATTTTTCTACAAATTTTTAAGAATCATTTAGTTCTATCTCAGTTTTTTATTCGAATATTCTTAGACTATACAAACATAGTTAAATATTTTCAATTTCAATTTCTATATTTGTCGATGGTGTAATTTGGATCATTCCGAAGTTTGCTGAAAATATGCAAACCGAAGCGTAATAAATTATCTATCGAGGACTGCTTAATTGCCTCCCTTACTCTAGAAACACTATCTATCGATAAAAAAATGTTTAAGCAAAGAAAGGCGCTCATTTAACATTGCGTTTCTCGACCGCTTAAAGTAATATATTCAAATCGTTTGTCGCGATAAGTGGATACAACAACGTTCTCCATGTTTTCCGAGCGAAGTACAGTGTAGAACGAATACTTTTGCACTTGTAAAGTTTTAAACGGTAGTCATTAAGCTTGGAAAACATCGAAGAGACGGATAAGATAGCCAGGCGATAGGTATAAACGATTACGCGGGAAAATTGGCTTGCAATGAATCACTTATGCGCGATGTCCTGAAGTATGAACATTCATCATTCCTTCAATAAAAATTGCAGTCTGAATTACACAATCAAATTATAATATTTATGAATTTCCTCTTTTCCATACACTTCTGGTTTTATTTAAGTAGAGACGATGGATTGTAGAGATACACGAATTGTTTAAAAACAAACCAATTAGCTATTTATTGATCTGGCGAGTCATTTTGTCTCATAAAAACTTGCGAATAAATCCCTATAAAATAAAATTCTGGCCAATTTTGGAAAGCAACGAGAACAGAGTCTTCCTGCACAATATTTTTTCCATTTGCGTCATTTAGTGGGCGAAGGACGATGCGTCCTTCTTATCTGGTCGTTGTGACGGTCGAATCGTTTGCCTCGTTATTTCAAATGATAAACGCTTCGGTGGAACACCTTTTCCAAGTCTTTCGCGGAAAATGACGTGTCACGGATCTGTCAGACAATCGGCACTCCGTTTTGTAAAACCCTGTTTCTAACCGCGCAAAATCCAAACGCGAGCGTGCAACGCTGCAATTATTCCTCGGCGAATACCAAGATCGATTTTTGCCTCGCCTTCTTTATCGTAATCGACTGACGTTCCATCGCGGGACAGGATCACCAGGTGAACGATATAAAAATGTAAAAGACACGAGTCGTTAACGTCGATCGCCCGCGGGGTTATCTCGACAAAATAAAACGATTTGGAATCCCCTGACGCGACGGGATTGGAATTTGCAACATTGTGCGAAAAATGAGCGAGCAGGACGGCGCGTTCGGGTTCTGGTCTTAATAAAAGGTTGACGAAACGTCCTTTCCCGACCGAAATGGTGGAGCGGATATCCAGTTCTTGGAGCCAGCGGAGTCGACCGCCCATCTTTGTCCAACTATTCGACGCCGACTTGCCAGGAGCAGATATCTCCGACGAAAACGTACGCCTACTCGTCCGTATGACAGCTTCGCGATTCTATTCCTTTTCTCGAATTGAATTTCATATTAGGAGACCCGTCCTGGGGTTTGTTTATCTAAAAAATAGTATGGAAACACAATAGTGTCGGGGCATACACATGGATATCTATTCCTTGGAGGCACCAGGATCTTTTTAAATGGTCCAGTAATCGACAAAATTAATTTTCGCAGGCTTCTCAGGAAGAAGTGCAATGAAATGGAGAACCTCAGGGACTGTAGCTACGTCTGATTGTAGCTACAGTACGAGCTTAGCGATCCCGAGGTACCCGAGCTATTGGGAGGCAAGAATAAAACAAAAATTATTCGTATGTAAAGAACAAATAAATCTTCGCATTCATAAAAATAAAACTCACTCATTCCGATAGAAAACTTAATTCTTTGGAATTAGGGAGGCTACTGGGCCCCAACAGACATGTAATGTATCGTTATGTAAAAATAGTTGCTCTAATAAGTAAACAAAATTAGATATGAAGAAAATCTGGTAGACCAGGAGCTATCGAACGCCAGGCCAACGTTAATTCACCGAATGGGCAATCGAGGGACGCGATAGGGGTATGGGTTGAAAGTGGTCGAAACTGGTCTGGAGAGGGGATTGACGAAAGTTCCGCTTTTGTTTAAGCTAATCCCATTCGCGTATAACGGAGAGCAATTCCATTAGGAGGCGGACGAGAGTCTGGAGGGTCAGAGAACAATTCGATGGAGTCGCGAACGAATCCCCTTGCAGAAGGGGGTGGCAGGGAC